CGCGATCATCGACACCGGGGCCTCCAAGAGCATGATCGGCCTGGACCTCGCCGTCGCGATTCAGGACACGATCGTGGAGGAGACGGGCATCGACCAGGTCACAATGGACTACAGCAAGACGACGAAGTTCACCTACGCGGGCGGTGAGAAGGGCCAGTCCATCGGGAAGTTCGGGTTCGAGCATCCGGTGGCGCTCGTGGAAGACGATAACAAGCTGTGGTTCGACCTCGTGGAGACCAAGTCCCCGATGCTGCTCGGCCTCGACTATCTCGAGAAGTCTGGAGCTGACTTAGTCAAGGACAGGTTGGCGCTCGTCTACCCCGACGGCCACGAGGAGCCAGTGGTGAGGCTGTCCAGCTCTCACTACGCGCTGCCCGTCCTTTGAGGGTGCCCAGCCGGAGGCCGAGACAACGCCGAAGGATTGGGAAAAGATAGAAGTTGTCAATTTTGTTCTCCCATCGATCGTCGATCGCCCAGAGTCCCCTGGAAAGACCAGAGTCAGGATAACATGAAGATCACGCTCATTAATTCAAAAACCACTGCAATTCTCCAATACAAAGAAGCAAACAGCGTGCAGAAAATGAAAAGCCTCAGTATGGGGACCTCCAGGGAGCCCAAGGTGAGGACCCAGGCCATACACGCACGAGACACTGCACTTCATGAAGTACGGCTACCACACTCACGAGATAGGCCATGTCATGGAGTACGGCTACCACATGAACGAGATAGGTCATGTCCTGCAGTACGGCTACCACAGGCACGAGATAGGGCATGTCAACACGTACGGCTACAGCATGAACGAGATGGATCATGTCACAGAGTACGGCCACAGCATGCACAAGACAGGTTATGTCACGCACACGTATTTACAGCACGCCATGAGAACACGGAGCAGCACATACCAAACATATGTCCACCGCCTCCGAAGCCATTTTCGTCAAGCAGTTGCTCCGGGAGGAGCTTTCGTGATTTCAGCAAGCAAGATATTCATGAGCAGTCCGCAGGGGCCATGGGTATCATCAGAGGTCGAGATCTCGGACGAAGAGTTCGAGTGGGACATGGTGGGACCGCCCAACGTAGAGGAGGGCTCTCCCTCCTCAGTGCCGCCCTCGCCGTCGGCTGCGCCTGCGACGGAGGCAGACCCGATCCAGTTCTACGAGGACCTGAAGGGGCAGGCGATGGAGCTGTTCGCCGTGACCGACCCGGACACGAAGGTGGAACTGAGGGATCAGGCAGCCAGACAGGCGGCCAAGGACGGCTTGCTCGCAGAGACGGCTCGTCGAGCAAGGGCAGGAACGCTACCCATGTCCTGGAAGTACCTCCTCGCCGAGGCGGAGACCGCCTGGGCCAAGGATCAGGGTCGCAGCCTGCAGGTGGACGCCGAGGTCAGGGAGTTGCCGACGGTACCGAGAACCAAGCAGCGAGGGTCAGGACAGTCGGATTCGAAGCCCTCGGAGGTCCATCCAGTGGGACCTCCAGAGAACGGGGGACACCAGCTCCACGTCCAGAGCCAACGACCCCTTTCCACAAGAAGCTCCCCTCGGGCAAGAATCGGAACACCAAGACGACAGCCAGCAAGCCGGAGGACCCAGACCGTTCGTCGGAGACCATGGAGCAGGCTGGACGCAATCGGTGGCAGCGGCTCGTGTTGAGGATCCAGTCCCGCAAGCGCTGGTCCCAGCAGGCCCAGCTGCTGAAGTACGCAAAGAACGGGTGCCCCAAGAAGTTCACGGAGGCGAAGGGCTTTGGAGCTCACATCGGCAGGTGGAGCTGGCGGGAGATAAGCTACGAGTGGTAGGTCAGCTACCTCAGCGAGTGAGACACAAAGCGCTGCAAGCGGCCGCGAAGCTCGACCACCAAGGGATCCGGAAGTTGTCTGCCATGGCCCGAGAGGGCCGAACC